TTTTCTTTAGAGACCTTGATAATTTTCTTTTAAGAGTAAAACTTTATTATTATTATTATTATTATTATTTCTATTTATTTCAAGACTTGTGAACCTATGAGTTTTTATTAAAATATGTGGACCCTTCTTGATGTTATATTTATTGAATTATTCTTATTGTTGTTACTTATCTATTATGGGGTAGAAGGGTGTCACACGTCTGCAGCTGGCAGATGAAGTATTTCTTTTGATGTTTTGTTGTTTTTGACCACTAGTTTGGCTACTTTGGGCTGCATTTTTACTCTGATTTATTCAGGCCCCAGGTTTGACATATTATATATACTTTATTTGGATATATGTATGTTCTTTCTGTGTGGTGTTGTGGTGTTGAGCTGTATGTGGTGGCCAGGCGGATCGTTACACTCAGCCTTATGATAGGTTATATTTAAACTGTATCTTTAATGGATAAAAAAAAATCACTCACCCTTATTAAAAAATGTTATAAATTATATTTAGTCTAGTCATTCTTACCTAGATTAAAAAAATTATAAAAAATGATATAGATTATAAAGAAAATGTTATAGGTTGTTAGTATTAATTTATTAATCATATTATTATTCAACTTATATATTAAAAATAAATAATTACTTTTTTAAAAAAAATTTAAAATACAAAAGACTATATTTTACAAGCACGTACTTAGACAATATTCTTTATGAATATAAAAGAGTTTGTTGAAATTTTTTTACTTTCTAATTAAATTCAATCTCTATATATTAATCATAAATGATTATCAACTATAGGAATATTTTTAAGAACTCTTATAAGATTTTTTTTATAGATTTGTCTAACCTTTTATCAAATTTAATATATATATATCTATTTATGAATTAAATTTTAATATTTTAAATAAAAATTATTTAAGGAATTTTTCTAAGTTCTTACCCACTTCTATCTTTTATTTATCATAACCGGCCTATAGAATTCGTTGAAATGGAATTAATGAATTTCTCGAAGAAAATTTATTTCTGTATGAAAATTTAACTGCAAAGGGATTATATCTATAGAGTTTTTATTCCTGCTATTCTTTTTTTATTTTTTTATTTTATCCAAAACAAATTATTCAAATGTATTACTTTATCTCTCTTAAAATCTTTCATTATTTATTCCTTCCGCCATTTTTTAATTTAATCATTTTGGATTTTTGTTTATAAAACAGTTTTATCCTTAATATAAGTAAGTAAAATTTATCGAAAAAGTATGATCATATACGGTGATCAGGTGTGAAAATAGATTTTTTTATTTATCAAAATGATTATAGATTATGATTAAACTGCTTATCCTGGATAAAAAAAACTCTCATCCTTAAAAAACATGTTATAGATTATATTTAAACTGTATCTTTAATGGATTAAAAAAATATTCACCCTTATTGTCTATCTTTAAGAACTCTAACAACTTTTTTTTATAGATTTTTTAAAATTTATTTTATCAAATGAAATATATCTATTTATGAATTAAATTTTATTATTTTAAATAAAAATTATTTAAGGGATTCTTCTAACTTTTTATCCAATTCTATCCTTTATTTATCATATTTATTTATAAATTAAATTTTAGTATTTTAAAATAAACTATTTTTTGTTAATTTCTTATTGAATTGAATTTTTATTTATTTATCTTATCTATTTATAAATTAAGTTTTAATATTTTAAAATTAAAGTATTTTTATTGGGTTTTCCAACTTCTTATCCAATTCCACCTTTTTATGTATGATATTTATTTATAAATTAAATTTTAAGATTTTAAAATAAAAATATTTTTAGGAATTTTACTAATTCATGCAATTCAATTTTTTATTTATCACATTTATTTATTGGTTAAATTTTAATATTTTAAAATAAAATCAATTTTAAGAATTCTTCTAACTTCTTATCCAATTGAATTTTTTATATATGATAACTATATATGAATTAAATTTTAATATTTAAAATAATTTTTTTTAAGGATTCTTCTAACTTTTTATCCGATTCAACTTTTTATCTTCATATCTATTTGTGAATAGTTCTAACTTCTTATTCATATCAAGTTTTTATTTATCATATCTTTATATAAATTAAATTTTATTATTTTAAATAAAAGTATTTTTAGGGCTTCTTCTAACTTCTTATCCAATTCAACTTTTTATTTACTAAATTTATTTATAAATTAAATTTTAACATGTAAAAATAAAATCATATTTATAGA